CAAACAGGCAGAGAGACCTGAGCAGCTGGGGGAGCTCAGGGGGGGAAGCCAAACCCATGTGATGGATATTCAGTAATCCAGAGGAGGCAGCCTTCCCTCTTCCCACGCTGAAAAGGTCTAGAAGGCCCTGTAATTTGGGAAGCTGGCAAAGCCCTTCCCTGTCAGAGGGGACAAGGAGGTCCCACAGCACCGTGTGGAAAGGGGCCCACGTTGGAGCAGTTTGTGGAGAACTGTTGCCTGTGGGATCAACTCCTGTTGGAGAAGAACTGTCTCCTTCCCTCCCCCGTGTTGGAGCAGGAAAGGACTCCCACTCCTCTCCCTGAGCAGCACCACAAACAACATGAGATGACCATGACCTGATTGTGACCAGGAGATGACAATGACCGTGACTGTGACACAACTGGGACCTGACTCCATCTCTGAGTCCTGGGAGGTCCAGATGAGACACCTTTTTGGCTTCAGTGGATGGATCATCCCATCCCACCCTACCCCACCTGTGCCCACTGCTGATGACACAACACGTGTTTGTGTTGCCCAGGTTGGGACATCTCAGCATCTCCAGGGCCAGTGGGGGGTTGGGTCCAGCATTTCAATGGACAGAGAGACCAGAACCCCCACATGAACCCCTGGGTCCCCCTGCCCCCACTCCCAGCCTGACCCCTGCTCCCCCCGAATGCCGGGATCACTGTGGGACAGGGGGGTCACCGTCAGCTTTTATTAACCCCCAATAAAAGTTTCACCGTTGACCCCTCACCCTCTCCCCAAGTCCCACCTGGGGCCCCCCAGATGCCTGGGATCCCCCAGCACCCAGGGGGCCCCCCCAGCCCCCTCAGTCTCGCTGCGGCCGCAGCTTCATCTCGGTGAAGGGGATGGAGACGTCGAAGCCTTTCCAGGGGAACCAGTGGATGCCCTGCGGGGAGGGGGGGTCAGGACCTCCAGAGACCCCCACAGAACCCTACAGACCATATTGACCCCTACAGGTTCCATAGACCCTGTGGATCCCTATAGAACCCCCTAGACCCTATAGAATCCCCACAGACTCCTACGGACACTCATAGGCCCCCACAGACCCTATAGACACCTCTAGATCCCCACAGGCCCTATAGTACCCGTAGAGACTTATCAACCCCCATAAACCCTGCAGACTCCTATAGACCCCCACAAACCCTTATAGATAGGTCCCTGTAGACCACCACAGGTTGCCATAGACCCCACAGACCCCTAGAGATGCCTACAGACTCCCACAGACCCGGGTAGGCCTTGACCATCTAGACCCTCCCAGACTCCCACAGAATGCCCACAGACCCCTAGAGACCCCCAGGGATCCCCCCCCATCTCCCCCAATCTCCCCCAATCTCCCCAGCCCCCTGTACCTGGTGGTCCCGGGTGGCCCCGTAGCGCCCGTTCAGGTTGGCATAGTGGCAGTTCCGGTACCACCAGGCCCCTCCATAGGCCACGGCACAGTGGGGAGGCCGGGGGTGCCCCGGGGGCTCTCGGGGGCCCCGAGGGTCCCGGGGGTCCCGGTCCCGTGTCGAGAAGGGGCTGCCCGAGTGGTAGGAGAGGGCGTCCCCTGCGGGAGGGGGTGTCAGCACCCCCAGGGACCCCAAAACCCCACAGAGACCCCCCCAGGGACCACTCAGAACTCCAAAACATGTCAGGGATCCCAAACCCACCAGGCACCCCTAAATGCCCCAGCAAAAATCCACCAGGGATCCCCAAAACCCATCAGGGACCCCGAGGAACCCCAAATCCCATCAGGGACACAAAAAATCCACCAGGGACCCCCCAAACCCTCCAGGAACACCAAAACATCCCAGAGACCCACCAAAGCCCACCAGGGACCCCTCAAACCCCACCAGGGACCCCCCCCAAACCCCACCAGGGACCCCCCCCAAACCCCACCAGGGATCCCCCAAACCCCACCAGGGACCCCCCCCAAACCCTACCAGGGACCCCCAAAACTCCACCAGGGACCCCCCCAAAGCCTACCAGGGATCCCCCAAACCCACGGCCCCCCCGCCCCGCACCGGCGGTGCCGCTGAAGGTCCCGACTCGGAGCCGATATCGCTCCTCAGCGCCGCCGACGGCGAAGTCGCGATAGTGCGCGAAGGCGGAGTCGCGAGGGGTCCGCAGGTCCACGCGCAGCTCCGTGGGGGTCCCGGCCGTCAGCGCGTGCAGCGCTTCGTTCCCTGCGCCCCAAAACCGTCCGGCACCCCCCGAACCCCTGGGGACCCCCCGAATTCCTCCCCCACATCTCCCCCTCCATTCCCAAGTCAGCGCCTCATTCTCCGTGCCCTGAAAACCATCCGAGACACCCCCCAACTCCTGGGGACCACCCGGACCTCCCTTAGATCCCCCGAGTCCTCCCTGCACACCCCCCAGCTGCTGGAGCCCACCCGCGTTCCCCCTGTGCCCCCTCAGCTGCTGGGTCTCCTCAAAGTGTCCCCCCCAAATCCCCGGGTGCCCCTGTGGGTTGCTTTCTTCCGTGTCCCCTCGAATTTCTGGGTCCCATCAAATCCCCCCAGGATCCCCCAAACCCCGGGAGACCCTCAAACCCTCCCAGGCCTCACCAAACCCCCCACGACCCCCCAGACCCCTGTCCCCCCTCTCACCGAGCCAGAACTCGCCGCTGATGTTGCCGAAGCCGCGGGCGTACGACTCCCACCCCCGCCAGAAATCGGTGCCCCCGTCCTGGCGGCGCTGGAACACCTGGGGGGGTGGTCAGGGGCACCCCAAAATCCACCCAGGGGCCCCCAGTTCCACCCCAGACCCCCCCAGTGACACTATGGCCTCTTGTAATACCCCCCGGAAACCCCTGGAGAAGCTTCCCAGCCCCTCCCAGTGCCCCCGGTCTCTCTTCCAATGCCCCCCAGTTCCTCACCAAAACCTCCCAGTCCCCTCCCTGTGCCCCCAAGCCCCCCTAATCCTGCCTCAGAACTCTCTCTTGTCCCCCAGGACCCTGATTTCCTCCCATAAACATCCGTGAAGTGCCCTAGGGATGCCTCCCAGCTCCTTTCCAGTGCCCCTGTGCCCCTCTGTCACCCCCAAACGCCCCCATTGCCCCCCAGACCCCCACTGCTCCCACAGAACTCCCTAGATCCCCCCCCCCAGCCCCCTGTAGAAGTCCCCCAGCCCCTCCCGGTGCCCCCAGTCCCACCAGCCAGCCGCCGCCGTCCGTCTCCATGTCACAGAAGACCCTGAGGGGCCGGGCCGGGTCCCCTCCGAGGAACACGAGGGTCTCCCGCGAGGGGCCCGGCCCGTTCCGCTGCTCCTCGGCACAGTCCCGGGGGTGGGGGTGCGGGAGAGGGGCTGGGGGGCACGGGGGGGTCCCTCAGGCACCGCAGGGGCTTCTGGGGATGCAGGGGTGCGGGTGCCCCCTCCCCAGAAGCACCCAGACCCTCCCCACCCAATAAACACCTCCCCACCAGGGACCCAGTGGTCCAGGTGCCCTCCCCAGAGATCCACTCCCCCTCCCAAGGGACACAACTGCCCCCAATAAACCACCTGCCCCTCAAAAGTACCCAGGTACCCCTTCAATGAACCCCCCACCTCGGGCATCCATTGGACCCCTGCAAAGACCCAGAGCCCTCAAAAGGACCCAGGGGTCCAGGTGCCCCCCCCAAGGAGCCTCCCCATCCCCCCCTGCCCCCACTCACGGGT